ATACAAATTTAGTCATTCATTTCATTTTATGGGACTTAGTTCCTGTCTGCTCTAGTGACCTAGAGTTGTTGAAGCTCCCCATAGTTTGCTTTACCTGGTCTCCCATCACTTTTTGTCTTGCTCTTTCCATTAATGTGTTATTGTTGTTTAGATGTCATAGATGGATTTTCAAGCAATTAATGGAAAGATGCAGGTTTTTTGTTTGTTTGTTTGTTTTTCCAAATGTGTACATGGAAATTCTAATTCATGAAACAGGTTATGACTTAGGGAATGATTATTAAAACTATGAAAAGAATTCTTAAGAAATGAAAAGTGTACAACTCATTTCACTAACCTCCCCTAGTATGTTTAAGTTTTAGTTAAATAACTATAGGGAGTCTAGTGAAATTTAAAGATAAATTTTAGTAACCATTGACAATTGGATAGTACTCAGAAATTAATATTAGGCATGTCAGAAATTAAAATGTGCTGCATCTGCCTATTAAACCTCAAATTCCCCTTCCCCAAAAAATTCTGGGGAAAGGAGGGAAAACTTAATTGTGCATGTAGCTTTAAATAATCAACCCTGATCAAATTTTTAAAATGCTCAGTTCAGTTCAATTCGGTCGCTCAGTTGTGTCCAACTCTTTCTGACCCCATGGACTGCAGCACGCCAGGCCTCCCGGTCCATCACCAACTCCCAGAGTTTACCCAGAGTCATGTCCATTGAGTCAGTGATGCCATCAAACCATCTCACCCTCTGTTGTCCCCTTCTCCTCCCACCTTCAGTCTTTCCCAGCATCAGGGTCTTTTCTAGTGAGTCAGTTCTTCGCATCAGGTGGCCAAAGTATTGGAGTTTCAACTTCAGCGTCAGTCCTTCCAGTGAATATTCAGGACTGATTTCCTTTGGGATGGACTGGTTGGATCTCCTTGCTGTCCAAGAGACTCTCAAGAGTCTTCTCCAACACCACAGCTCAAAAGCATCAATTCTTCAGCATTCAGCTTTCTTCATAGTCCAACTCTCACATCCATACATGACTACTGGGAAAACCATAGCTTTGACTAGACGGACCTTTGTTGTAATGTCTCTGCTTTTTAATATGCTGTCTAGGTTGGTCATAGCTTTCCTGCCAAGGAGTAAGTGTCTTAATTTCACGGTTTCAGTCACCATATGCAGTGATTTTGGAGGCCAAAAAAAAATAAAGCCTGCCACTGTTTCCCAATCTGTTTGCCATGAAGTGATGGGGCCAGATGCTGTGATCTTAATTTTTTGAATGTTGAGCTTTAAGCCAACTTTTTCACTCTCCTCTTTGACTTTCATCAAGAGGCTCTTTAGTTCTTCTTCACTTTCTGCCATAAGGGTGGTGTCATCTGCATATCTGAGGTTATTGATGTTTCTCCCGGCAGTCTTGATTCCAGCTTGTGCTTCCTGCAGCCCAGCGTTTCTCATGATGTACTCTGCATATAAGTTAAATAAGCAAAGTGACAACATACAGCCTTGATGTACTCCTTTTCCTATTTGGAACCAGTCTATTGTTCCATGTCCAGTTCTAACTGTTGCTTCTTGACCTGCATACAGATTTCTTAGGAGGCAGGTCAGGCGGTCTGGTATTCCCATCTCTTCCAGAATTTTCCAATTTATTGTGATCCACACAAAGGCTTTGGCATAGTCAGTAAAGCAGAGATAGATGTTTTTCTGGAACTTTCTTGCTTTTTCGATGATCCAGCGGATGTTGGCAGTTTGATCTCTGGTTCCTCTGCCTTTTCTGAAACCAGCTTGAACATCTGGAATCTCATGGTTCACGTATTGCTGAAGCCTGGCTTGAATTTTGAGCATTACTTTGCTAGCGTGTGAGATGAGTGCAGTTGTGTAGTAGTTTGAGCATGCTTTGGCATTGCCTAGTAAAAACGCTAGTAGTGAGTAAAGTTTACCTACCAAATAATCCAATCCAGCCATTTAACAGGAAGTTGTGAGGTCACGCATCAACTCTCTCTAACTTTTTGAGTAACTGCCAAGTCAAGCTCTTTTCCAGAATGGCTGTATACCATTTTGCATTCCCATCAGCAATGTGTAGGTGTCCACTTGTCCTCCATCCTCCCCAACACTTGTTATTGAATACATCATTTTTAATATAACAGTTTGAGTGGGTATGGAATGGCATCTTGTGGTTTTGATGTGCATTTCCTTAATACACATCTTTTCATGCCCTTATTGGCAGTCTGTCTCCTGAAACTGTACCCCTTAAACAATAACATGTTGACCATCCCTTTTCTAAGGCCCTGGCATATGCCTTCTTTCTGCTGTCACTTGGACTATTCTAGATACCTCATAAAAGTGGAATCAGAATACTACTTCTTTTGTGTCTGGCTTATTTTGCTTAGTGTGATGTGTTCAAGATTAATCATTGTTTTAGTATGTCAAAATTTTTCTTCCTCTCTAAGGCCCATTGTATGAATGTGTGTGTGTATATACACCACATTTTGTTTATCTCTTCATCTGTTGATATACATTTAAGTAGTTTCTACCATTGTGTGTGAGTTTCATCTGACTTTCTGTTTTTATATCTTTTGAAAATGGATTTGCTGGATCATATAGTAATTGTTTGATTGTTTTAAAGCATCTTTTCCACAGTGACTCCACTGTTCTACATTCCCACAGGCAGTGCCACGTAGGTTTCAGTTTCTTTACATACTTGGCGGGCAGTAGTTATCTTTGTTATGTGTGTGGGGTGGAGGGGGGGTTCTGGTTGCATATGTTTTGGTTTTTGTTGGATAGGCATCTAATGGATGTGGAGTTCTGTTTTATTGTGATGCCCTGGATATTAACACCTTATCAGAAAGATGATTTGCATATAGTTTCTCCCATTCTGTGAGTTGACTCTTCACTCTTTGCCTCTTTGCTGATAGTGTCCTTTGCTACACAAGTTTTTTATTTTAATATAGTTCAGATTATTTCTTTTGTTGCCAGTAGTTTTGTGGGAGGGTGTCACAATATCTTTCATATCGACAGTGGTAGGTTTTGAAATGTGTTGGGAATGTATCAGGAACCTTTCAAGTCCACAGTGAAGCTCACATTTTCTAGACTTTAAATTTTTTATTTTGAAGTTGAAATTTTATCAGTGGTCACGAATATTTCAGTTGATTTTTCTTGATTTTTTTTGAGGACATGTCTACTGGTTTCTTTTGGTTTTTAATAAGCATTATTTATTTGACATTCCTTTCAAGTAAAAAAGGCTTTCTTTGTAGAATAGCTCACTCACCTGGCACCAGTATTTAACTTCTTGCTACTTGAGATGTCTGCAGTATTTTGCTAGGCAACAGAAGTCCTTTATGTATATTTTTCATGTTGTTGTCTCTGCTATGCTAAGTCGCTTCAGTTGTATCCAGCTCTTGCACCCCTGTGGACTGTAGCCCACCAGGCTCCTCTGTCCATGGGATTCTGCAGGCAAGAATACAGCAGTGGGTTGCCATGCCCTCCAGGGAAACTTCCCAACCCAGGGATCAAAGCTGCGTCTCTGTGTCTATTGCGCTGCCTGGCTGGTTCTAGTGCCTCTGGGATGTTAAAAAGACGTATGCGTACTCAAAAGATTGAGATTTAATTAAGTTAGTCAGTTTGCTTTGTTGACCTTTCCAGTCAAATAGTTTTTTACTGTTTTTAATTGTGATTTTGTGTTGATAAAGAAGGTGACAGCTCCTACCAGTGTAGTTTGGTACTGCCACTTTGATTTGTGAAGTGTCGGCAGTTTTACCCCCTGCTGCTTTTGCACCTACTGTTATTGCAAATGTCAACTCAGTGAAAAAGTCAACTCTACTCTTAACGAAAATAGCTTTGGCCTCTTGGGGCCACACTTTGAGAGCTGCTGGCTTAGTTTGTAGGGTTGCTGAACCGGGTGGAAGAGTGATTGCAGACTAGCAGTCTTAGCTTGCTTAGATAGTCTCCTATGTATGAGATCTATCTGCTGCCACTAATGAGTATAGTGTTTGGAGGAATGGTTGGTGTTCCTGACCCTTGTATCTCTTAGAATTTAGGTTATTCAGACAGATTTTGTCACAAAATTTCCTTACATTAGTGGTAAAATGTGAGGGGACAGGAATAAAAAGATGTTTATATTTTCATGAACAGATGTGACAGTTACATACAGATATTAATGAACTTTTTACTTTGAAAGATATGTCTTGTAGAGAACATGTGTTATATGCCTTTTAAATGATAAGATAAAAAATTTTGGTTGAAAGCAAAAGAACTTGGAGAAATTGAAGTTTATTTTACTATTTAGCAGATAACAAGACAAGAAAATGTACTAGTCTATATAAGCATTATAGGGGGCTTTCAAGGTAACTCAGTGGTAAAGAATCCACCTGCCGGTGCAGGAAATGTGGGTTCAACCCCTGAGTTGGAAAGATCCCCTGGAGGAAGAAATGGCAACCCACACCAGTATTCTTGTCTGGATAATCCCATGGACAGAAGATACTGATAGTCTACAGTTCATGGGGTCACAGAGTTGGACACAGCTGAGCAACTGAGCACATACGCATAAGCGTTATTTATACCCTGGATGTTAAGAGCTTAGGGTATGGGAGTCATTCTGATTTGTCCACTTAAAATTGTAAATTTAAGGTTGGGACAGTTTCTAATAACTTATTTTAAGTGGGGACAGTAACACCTCCTGGTTTGTTGTAAGAGATGGAGTCAAAGTAATGTTTTTAAAATGTGGAAAGTGGGACTTAAACAATAAGCTTTCAACTAGAAATACCAGTAGTTAATTTTCAACATTTTAATCTGATTTAGGTTTTGTTTGGATACGGAGTTTGGGAGAATTGGATGGAACCAAGGAGGAGCTTGTGAATTAGATTGATCAGGCATGGTGCAGGCTGCTGAACAAAGTCATTCTCGCAACTACTTTTCCTGATCTTAATTTTGTTAGTATTAGTGTTGTGATGTATTCTGTATGTGTGCTTTTTGTCCAAGAATTGTGACTCTACTTGGTGTTATATATTTTTTTTTAATTTTTTACTTATAGGATTCAGTGGTCACAGTTTAAAGGCTATTTTATTTTCAAACTGGAGAAGGTGATGGATGATTTCAGAACTTCAGCTCCTGAACCAAGAGGTCCTCCCAACCCTAATGTTGAATATATTCCCTTTGATGAAATGAAGGAAAGAATACTGAAAATTGTCACTGGATTTAATGGGTATGCATTTAATTCTACTTTAAAGGTTTAATTTTTAGCAGATCATTAAACATTTTTTCCTGTAAGTTTTGAAGTGTCTAGTTGTTTGATAACTGGTTATTCATTCGAATGATCTCTATGTCTCATGATATATAGATAGATAGATGTTATTGAGTTCCATTTTACAAGTATTTAAAATTTTGACAGCTTTTTTTTTTTAACTTGAACCACCTTTATATGGTTCAGTGGCATTTAGACTTCAAATATGTGTGACAGTGGAAACATCAGATATTTAAAATTTTTTCTATTCATTTTATATTTGATATTATAAATCTTTATACTTTGGAACCTGTCATTGAGGTAAGTAACATTTCTTTTAAAATTAAAAGTAATTTATGAAAGGATTCTACTTAGATTCTACTTTTTAATTAAAAATATTTTTAAGAGTTCCTCTTTTCCCTCTAGTAAGGAACAATTTTAGCCTCTTATAAAACATTGCACTGAAAAGTTACTCTCCACTAAAAATGAAGCTGACTTTTAAATTGTGTGTCATAGTCTGTTATTTTAAATGCTTCCTTTTCAGGACTTTGTAATTTTAGGGCTCCCTTTAGTGAAGGCAAGAAATATTTTTGACGTTGAATTGTTCCGTGTTTAAATTGGCATAATTTGGAGTGTGGAATGACAATACCTAATTTAGTGAATTGTGGGTATGTTAACCATGAATTTATACTTAGGGATGGTTTTTGACGGGATTTCATTTGTATTTTTAGGTAGCATGAATGGTCTCAATTTTTTCTTCAGATATTTAATCACATGGGATTTGCAACAAGATAGTGTAATTCACTTAAACCTTTATTTTATATCATGTTTCCCTGCTTAGCAGTTTGACTTCAGTTATCAAATTCTTAAACTTTGGTTTTGGGTAATGCTGCTGAAATACTTTTGGGAGGAATTAAAGCTGCTTTAGGGGTTTGGGATTGGAGGGAGACTTGTTTTCACTGTGTACTGTGTTGTATTAGTGAACATTTTTTAACTGTATGCATATATTTACTTACTGATTTTTTAAAGCATATACCAAGATGAAGCCACATGCTATGTATTGGAAGTATGTTACATAAGGCCTACTATTGCATGTGGTTAAGAATATGTCTTGGGGATGTTTATAAATAGTGCAGAGGTTGATAGTACTTAGACATTATGGTAACTCATCTTTTATTTCAATAAGTTATGGCTTATTTAAAATTAAGAGTTATGGTCAAACAGGTCAAATTATACTGCTGCTTTGTGAGTGTGAAGCTACTTGTGATTCTAAATTAGTAATACCATTTTCAATTCTTACACATGAAATTGGATGAAACACAGCTATGTAGGTATTAAATATTTCTCATTTCTTAATTTGTTAAAGAGGTGCTGGAGTGGGTACCCATTTCCTTATCCAAGGTATTTTATACACACACACACACCATAATTTGTTGAATAGGTAATTGATCTACCTCTGAAAATGACTTGAACAGTCATTAAATGCCTAAGCATACATAAATAGAATTTTTACTTTGGTATTTCAAAATGGCAGTTTACAAATTATTTTTCTTAAGCAGAATCCAAGTCTTAATCAGTGATACATTAGTATTTTTCATTTTTAATACCCATTTTTATCTTTGTCATAATAAATTGATATGTGGTGCATTGAGACATCTTTGTAATATTTTTCAGTTTTACTTTTGTGTGTGAATATACATTGATTAGTTGTTGCTCTAAAAATTGTTTTCCTCAGTGGTGAGTAAAACTAGCATCTTTTTCACCTGGTCAGAGGGTTTGTCTTTGCCAGTATACTTCTTCTGCTCTTTGTAATAGATCATCTTTTAAATTAAAAAAGTTACAATAGTGTGTTCATAATTTTAAGAATATCCTCAGTTGTCCTAGGAGTATATGAAGAAAAGACAGTAGGATCATATTGTATGCTGGCTGTGTTTTACTTCTAGAAGAGCTTTGAAATTTTTATGTTAGTACAGTTACATCTGTGTGTTGTTTGTCTTTATTTGAAATGGCTGCATTATTTTGTTATATTAACAGATTATATAGTTCATTTTTTCTGTTCCCTTGGTGGGCATTTATTTTTTTGGCTGTTAAAAGTGCTTGTAGTGTACCTCTTTGTACATAGATTTTTGTGTATGATGAATGGTGTATGTTGAATTTATATATAGATTTATTGTTCCTTTTTTTATTTTGTAGAAAAAATTACTAGGTTATCATGTATGCACACTTAAAATTTTTGTTAATATTGCCAGATTGACCTCACAAAATATTTTCATTTATGCTTCTGTGTTATATGTAAATGCCATTTATTTTTTCAGTAGTTTTGTGGGTATATCCGTGAATTTGTGCCTCTTTGATTGCAAGTGAAATGGAGCATACATGTCTTTAATGACTCTTTTATGAATTGGTTTCTTTCATATCTTTTTTGGTTTTTCTTACCTTTCAGTGGTTTTCTTATTGGTAAGTTCATTTTGCTGTTTTTGTTTTTAATTAGTGAAAGCTCTATAGTAAATGCTTCAAATTATTTTGACATGAAAAGATTATTTTCTAAAACTAGTATTGTCAGTATATAAATTTTTCCTCTTTTAAGCGGAAATTACCCATTTACTTGTTGGCTGGATTTTCTGAACTGTAAGATTCTGGACACCAAGAGTGGCTATCTTTTCCATCCAAGGCCTAGAAGAGTGAGTGCCTGAATATAATAGGTTATCAGACAAACAGATAATGAATGAATGAGTGAAAGGAATAAAAAAAAGCATGTTTCTATATCTATACTTTGTTTAATGGGGCATGGTAGAATTTACATGGTTGAATGCTCAAGGTTACTTTAAAAAAAATTTCAGTCATATTTTCTTGTCCTTTTAAAATTACTTTTGAACTTTAATATTTTATAGAAGATGGACTATAGCTATTCTACAGAACTGAAGTTAAAGTTTCTTAGGTGAGAAACACCAAAAATTAAAAATTATTGAAATTGGAGACATCAATGAATGGTCAATTAAAAGACATTTTATGCCTTAAGTGTGGGATTATAATGAACAAGAGTATCTGGGATTACTCAAAGCAGGCCATTTATGAAAATCTGCTTCCTACCATAGATAACTGTGAATATACTTTAGAAACAGTTTGTAGCCAGTAGTTCTTTCCTATAATGAATGGTACACAAGAGAGATTTTGAGAGGGCGAGAGAATATAACTTACATTTCTTGTAGTTTATAAAATAGCATTTTATATCCTAATTACTAAAGTGGAAGAATAATGAATGTAAATTAATTACTTAAGTCTTGTCTTCCTCTGCTTTTGACAATCTGTTAGACCTAAGACCTCTCTTAAATTAGCAGTAAGCGTCTCTTGCTGTGGGTAGTTGACTGAAAGGGCATGGCTGTGTATTTATGAGGGCATCTAGGCAAAGTGCACAACCATTTGATACCTAGAAATCTTCGTTATATCACTGCTAAGGTGTCAGTTGTAACTGAGGAGTGCTTATCTTTTGGCATGATGGCCTGACTATAAAATTTCTTCTCTGAAGTTTTTTTTTAAATTATTTTAATGCACATAATTAGAGTTCACTTAGTCCTGAAAACTTTGAAATGATTGTTTTTCTTTTTTAAAATTTATTTTTTAATTGGAGGATGACCACTTCACCATGACTTGCTGGTCTCTGCTGTCCATCAGTGTGAGTCAGCCACGGATGCACATGTGTCCATCCCTCTCACACCCGGATGACGGTTTGTGTGCTTGTCTGCATCAGTGCGGGTACCTTGTGAGTTTCTGCACCTGAGGGTTTGCCTCTTCATCTTTTTTTAAAGGTTTATGTACAAGATTTTCAATACTTTAAAATCTGGATTGTAGATGTAAAACATTTACTGCTTTTCTGATTTTATATTGTTTGCTTTATAGTTAGCTTAAGGTTATTCAAGGATGTGAGAATGGATTCTAGCCTTTTGTTACTTGATTCTTTTACTCCTTTTACCTGTTACTGCTTGCTGGTGTACCTGTTCCTCTTGGGGAAAATAGAATTGCATTTTATGTTCATTATTTCTGTCAGTATTTGTTGAGCATATTGAATCTATTGGAAGAAATTTATTTATTTTTTCTTTATTACCTTTTTTAGCATAAGTTGTTGAGACTCAGGATTGCTTAGTAGCCTTCCCTCCTCACTCCCCTGACTGCCTTGCCTTGCTTGTGTGGTGGTGATAGGGTTTGATGTGATGCTGTCTTTAATAAAAGCTTATAATTGAAAGAGAGGAAATAACAGAAACCTAATGAATTTTTCTTAACATTTTTATTTGAAGCAAGTAAAGTAAGTCAGGCACTGTAGAAGGTGACTAACTGGTTAAAAGTGTTATCAGTTGCTGCCAATTTTAGTGTGGGGAGTGACCTAGATACTAGTTTATGGTTACTTATCATTATTGAAAGGGCCAAATTCTTTTTCTTAACTTAAATGCTATTTTCAATAAATCCCAGTTTCTAACATTTGAGGTATAAAATATATGCACATGAATATTTATGACATGTATATATTTATACAGATGTTAAAGCCTGATCCAGAAAGAACATACTGCTTTAAGTAAGATTGTATCACAAGATTCCACTGGTGATTTTGTGGTTTTTGGTTTTTTTTTAAATTTATTTATTTAGTTGGAGAATAATTACTTTATAATATTGTAGTGGGTTTTGCCATACATTGACATGAATCAGCTGTGGGTGTACATGTGTTCCCCATCCCGATCCCCCCTCCCGCCTCCCTCCCCATCCCATCCCTCAGGGTCATCCCAGTGCACCAGCCCTGAGCACTTGTCTCATGCATCCGACCTGGACTGGCGATCTGCTTCATATATGGTAATAGACTATACATGTTCCAATGCTATTTTCTCAGATCTTCCCACCCTCGCCTTCTCCCACAGAGTCCAAAAGACTGTTCTATATATCTGTGTCTCTTTTGCCGTCTTGCATATATGGTTATCGTTACCATCTTCTAAATTCCATATATATGTGTTAGTATACTATATTGGTGTTTTTCTTTCTGTCTGTCTTCACTCTATATAATAGGCTCCAGTTTCATCCACCTCATTAGAACTGATTCAAATGTATTCTTTTTAATGGCTGAGTAATATTCCATTGTGTATATGTATCACAGCTTTCTTATCCATTTGTCTGCCGATGGACATCTAGGCTGCTTCCATGTCCTGGTTATTATAAATAGTGCTTCGATGAACTTTGGGGTACACGTGTCTCTTTCAATTCTGGTTTCCTCGGTGTGTATGCCCAGCAGTGGGATTGCTGGGTCTTATGGCAGTTCTATTTCCAGTTTTTTAAGGAATCTCCACACTGTTGTCCATAGTGGCTGTACTAGTTTGCATTCCCACCAAAATCCACTGGTGATTTCTAACTTCGGTAGGACTTTAGAGTAAACAAAACTCAGTACATTTAATCTTTGCTATCTAAGAGATACTTGTTAATTTCCACTTAGATAGTAATTCTGTTAACTAAGACAATATAAATACGGTCATTAATAGAAAATAAAGATGTAGTAAAAATTGTACCTTTATGCATAAAAGTTATTGGCTATTTTAGCATTTTTTAAATCAGATGTCTGATTTTATGGTTAGCTCTTTAGGCTTTTACTTTAATAGTCTCTGTTTTAATTTCCTTTATCTTTTTTTAATGAGGAACATTGCTTATATAACATGTGAAAGTCGCTCAGTTGTGTCTGACTCTTTGTGACCCCACAGACCATACAGTCCATGAAATTCTCTAGGCCAGAATACTGGAATGGGTAGCCTTTCCCTTCTCCAGGGGATCAATCCAGGGATCGAACCCAGGTCTCCCACATTTCAGGCGGATTCTTGACCAGGGAAGCCCAGTATATAACTATATAACATACATATAATTATATTATGTAGAAGTAAGAAAGATTTTTTTTTTTGATGGGTGCTTTCTTTCCAGCTGAATATCTTGGTGTATATCCAGAATATTGGCACATCTTGATGATCAAACATTTAAACAGATAAATTTAAAAATATTAATTTTAGTCACTTAGAATCTTTCTCAGGTTAAAATACAAGACAGGAAATTCTAACTTTAGAGCCTGGTGTTTACAGTTTCTAATTTATGCTTAGATGTCTTTCTCTGTTCAACAGCATTCTTTTTCATTTATTTTTATTAGTTGGAGGCTAATTACTTTACAATATTGTAGTGGTTTTTGCCATACATTGACATGAATCAGCCATGGATTTACATGTGTTCCCCATCCCAACAGCATTCTTGATATTTGAATTCCCATAGCTTTTAGGTACATAAGATTTGATTTTTTTTTTTTAAGTCAGTAGATGGAGACAGATTGCAGGCAAATTAAGGTGTATACGTAATGTAAAACGCGTGATCCTGTTTCATCAGATTTAGTTACTTTTTGGAATTAAAAGGAATATTTTTGAAAACATTTTTTGTTTTGTTTCACCATAGTTGGTCTCTGGAGAGTTTGTGCCTTCTCAAAATCTACAGTAAATACCAGATGAAATTAGGATAATGATAGGAACTAAGATTTATTGAACGCTTCATAAAGTATTTCAGGCCCTGAGTGATTTATGGGCTTCCCTCATAGCTCAGCTGGTGAAGACTGCCTGCGATGCAGGATGCCCCAGTTTGATTCCTGGGTCAGAAAGACCCCCTGGAGAAGGGACAGGCTCCCCACTCCCATATGCTTGGGCTTCCTGGTGGCTCAGCTGGTAAAGAATCACCCTGCAGTGCGGGAGACCTGGGTTCCATCCCTGGGTTGGGAAGATCCCCTGGAGAAGGGACTGGCTACCCACTCCAGCATTCTGGCCTGGGGAATTCCGTGTACTGTATATAGTCCGTGGTTCGCAAAGAGTTTGACACAACTGAGTGACTTTCACTTTCAAGTGGTTTATATGCATTATGTATCAGCGCTCATGATAATTACTTAAGAAGTGTGTTTTCAGAATCCCTGTTTGCCAGAAGAGGAGGTGAAGACTTTAAAGAGGTAAATTCAACCAGGGCACAGTGTCCCAGAGGGTTAGCCAGTATTTGTTTTTTTTAAAGCCATACTACCTTATATGTAACTAGTGTTTTATTAGATATTGTAGACATAGATTTTGGGGGGTTTGCTTAACAAAATGCACATTAATCATATCCTTAATAAGTTTTTTCTTCCAGTTCCTTATGTAATCTTTATTTTCATCTTATGGTGTAGACAAGTAACATATAGGTAATACAGAATAAACTGAATGCATTTTAAATAACTCAAAATATTTTTCTACTTAATTGTTTTACAGTGCACCTTTACTAATAAATAAATACCTTTCCCCATTCTCCCAATTTCGGGATTCTGGTTCATATTTTTCATTGAGAGTTAGTAGTGTTCATTTTTGCTCTTTTTTTGTTCTTAGCACATGTCTTAATTTAGCTAGTGATAATTTTTTATTAGAAAAATTGTTAATGTTTTCAGGAGTTAGAATAAACTGTTTTGTGTGCTTATGTGTAGTGGAAGAATAACAGAAAGCAGACCTTTCAGAGAGTCGTACTGAGCATTCATTTTGGATTTACCTGGTTTATTTTTATACCTTCTTTTAAAGACCCACCTCAAATTACATGTTCCCATGTTTATGCTCGATTCCCTGGCATACAGTTTATTCTTTCTCGTAGCACTGTGTACACAGTTTTATTAGCATTTGCTGTCATAATTGTTTACCTTAAGTGTCTTTCAAGTCTGCTGTTGAGTAAACTAGCTTTATAGTCTCAAGTTTACGTAAAAGATTAAAAAGTACAAACTTTATGAAGAGATCTTCAATGCAGTTGTCAAAATTATGCTAATTGTTTCCAGTGGGTACTTTGATTTACAGAAAGTGTTTGTATTTTAAAACTGTTCACTTGAGCGAGAGTTGTATAACATCTTAGTGCCATCTATTGGACACTTGGTAAAATGACTTTAAAAGCTTCTGAAAATGTCTTAATTGTAAACTTATTTTGTCACAGGCTGACATTGTTATGCAAATAATACATTTTTCTTTCTAAAGCAGTATTAACATTTACCCACAAATACAGTGTTAATAATTGACTACCGATTTTAACTACTTTTCTAGAGAAAATTAGCCAAAACATTTTTGTCTACAACCACGATTAAGCAGGAAGTTGGAAGATTCTCATGTTTTATGGTTAATTTTAATTTAAGAGAAAACACTGCTGTCTGTGTGAAGGAAATTTATCTGAAGAAATAGACATGGCTAGACAATATTTGTTTAAGTATTTGGTAAATAGTATTTGAGTGTCTTTAATACTGGATCCTACTTTGCTTATTTTGTAAAATGTATAAAAACTTTTAATTACAGTATCACTCTGAGAGCGTCAGTGAGGGAATAGGGTTGAGGGGGAGTATGTGGGTGTTTGGGATTTGGAAAGCAATGAGCTCAACGAGGGGCGCCGTACTAGCATGACACTGATACTCTGAAGCCCATGATGGATTTACATGTATGTATAGAGTATGTGTCGGGTGTCATGTATGTGAAGAGATCCTGCCCCTAAGAAGCTCAGTCAAATATGAAAAAAGACACATTTTGGAAAAACAAGATACTTTGGCAGTGTATTTTACTCCGATTTTGAAATGTAAAAAAAAAAATATGACTCTCAGAAACTCAAAGAGCTTTGCTAAAAGAATAGCACTGATGCTAAGAATATAAGAACTAAACTTTGTTGGTCCAGCTAGAAAATGTCCATTTATTATTTTGTGTGTGTGAGATACAGTGGAAGAGAGAACATGGAATTTGAAGTTCGAGAATCTGAGTTTGAGTTCCGCACTATTAACCACTAAATTGCCTTCTGTTGTGGGAGAGGAAGAATTTTGTGTTGAACTGCCTGTAAACAATAAACAACTTCGTAAATAATAACTATTAATTTGAGGCTTTGTAATTATCTTTATAAGGAGAATAAGTAGATTTTATATGGCAAATACTGAAGCCTGAAGTTTACATACACATGTTTTAGCTGCATTTATCATTATCTCTAGTGAGATTTTGCTATTCATGTTGTAATTCTGAGGAATGCTAATAGTGTGTGAGATAAAAACTCACTGATTTATAAAGTCAATTTAGGTCCAATTTATGTCTCAGATTGGTATTTTCTATGATCAGGTGAAAATTTGATTGTGGTTGTGAGTATTTGGTAAAGTTGTCAGTAAGGTACTTAACAGATCTGTAGAGTGTGTGTGTTTGTGTGTATTTTAAGTTTGATGAAACATGTAGGTTGTATATAAAATTTTATTACGGAGCAGAACTGTATAATACTTTTTCATTGGAATCACTTCATGTTCTGTCTGATAACAAAACACTTGTAGTTTATTTGAACACTGTAAAAATAAATTAGTGTGCAAAAGAATGCTTGAGAAAGTTTATGTATTAAACTCTCACTTCTTTATTTGTGTTGCCTCTCTTATAAACTTAAAATTGAATTATCAAAAATAACAGTGTTAAAATTTTTTCTCAGTTTTGAAGCTTTCTGTTCATTTTGGATGTTCTTTTTTATTGCTTTTTAAGGGAAGGGAGGGGGAAATTGTTTTATTTTTCAAAGAGAACAGGTGTGCTTATTGTCTTGCCTAATTCTAGGTGATTCATCCATTCATTTGTAGCATTTTCTTTTGTAGCTTAACATGGGTGACTAGATAAAGCTTGAAATAGCGAGAGTAATGTTTCTAATTTTCTTGAAAATTAATAATCTTAAACTATAAAATTATATTCTATTGCAGTATACCTTTCACTATTCAGCGACTATGTGAATTACTAACAGATCCAAGGAGAAACTATACGGGAACAGACAAATTTCTCAGAGGAGTGGAAAAGGTATGTATTGTATAATGAAATTATATTAAACTGTAGCATAATAGATTTTCTTTGAGTAGGCTCTACTTCAGGCATCTTGTCTTAAAATAGGTTTTTCAGCTTACCTGAAGTTTTCCCCAAATTATGTTCTAAGTTTCAGAGAAAGATTTAATAGGAGGAAGGCAGAAGAATGCTTGGGAAAAGCAGTTTATTATTGTCTCTTGGAAATTCTTAATAAATCTTAACATATTAATAGTTCTGAGAAGTTCTGTAATTGATATCTTAAAGATAGAGGGTTTTGCAAACTTACCACAGAATTCGTTTCTTTAGTTCTAGAATTCAGAGGTACACAACTTGGAAAAATCACTAATACAAAGCATTTAAGTTAGGTATTGAGAAGGATTATGTCACATTTAAGAATACGAGAAGAGTTAGGTTTTTTGTGGGTGAGGAGATGTTAGAGGGCAGAGCATTCTGAACAAAGGCAATAATCTGAGAGACAACTACATCAAAATGTTGAGGGAATGAAAAGCAAGAGATTGGCTTGTGTGGAGTGAAGAATGAATGAAGGAGCTACATGTGAACTGAGATTGTGGACCATTGGTTTTGCTAATTCCTATAGTGATTGATCCTAGAATATAGTCTAGTATACATTTTAAGGTTCTTTTCAAATCTGTTTATTTTACCCTTAGAGCAGGAATCCAAAATCATTACCTTGTGATTTAAAATAGATCTTAGGGTCTAACTGGATTAATGTGTTTGTTGAGCTCTGAGGGCAGGAAACTGAGATGGTTCTTCAGTACTTACCAGTTCAGAGACTTCAGTACTTAAATTTTGGCAATCTTTGGATGAAGAGGCGGTGTCACAGTAGTCATAATTGTGTGGCTGTGGGCCAGTTACGTATCCAGGTCTCCATTTCCCCATCTGTAAAATGTGGACCATAATAGGTCTGTGAGGAGGATTAAATTATAAAGCACTTAACTTTCGCTCAGCAAACTTTCAGTGAATATTAAACTATTGATAAAGTTATGATTATCAGGAAGGTTATAAAAAGGTTTGCATCTCTGTCCCTGAGGTGTGTCATGCTACACATCAAGCTTTTGAGTGGGTACTGCTTTACAGGGAAATTTATTATTATAAGGCCTAAATGCCTCAAGCTCTAAATATCTTGGTGTGATTCTGTCTAAAATAAGAGAACATGGTTCTGTTCTGTTACATACAATACATAAAATACATACTGTCAAAAGCAAAACAATGTCCAAAGCAACTGGGAAAGAGAGGAGACTGAGGAAACAGCTCAGTAAGTTACTGGAGTTTGGTCTGTTGCTACTGTTTTAGTTTTTGCCTTTTTCTTGAACATTTTTGTTTTTAGCCATTTCTTTTATTAGTAAAAATGTAATACATGGAAACTTGATACCAGGGTGATTTTGGGAAATTAAAAACAGGTAAACTTTATGTTGTACATTTCCTCATATTAATCAGTAAATTTTGTTATTGCAGAATGTGATGGTTGTTAGCTGTGTTTATCCTTCCTCAGAGTAAGTATAGCTGCTTTTCTTTTTTCCTAGTATATTATATTCTGTTCTTTCATTTTTAATATATGTCTTAAAAATATGTTGCAATTATTTTATATATAATTAAGCATGGTAACATTTGTAAATACTTAATGAAACTACCAACCAGTTCCCAGAGTAGATAGACTATTACCAATAAACGTTACCTGTTACACGTTTTTCCGGTGAAAAGATTTGTGTTATAGATTAATGATTTACTGCAATCTTAACATTGTTATATTTATGTACTATCTTGATGACATTGCTCTTCATGAGGGACTACTAAAGCGAGTTACATAGTAAATTTAGGTAGCAGTGTAGGGCACATCCCTTGGTAGCGCTGGTATTTTATTAGGAGTGGATGTCCTGGGATTGCGGAAAGTTTAGCGCAGTGTCCATGGCTTCCACTGAATGTCAGTAATGTCCCCCCTACGTCCACCAGAAATGTATTTATTCATTGCTAAATGTGTTCGCTAAGGATATGGAGTGAGAGAAGAGGGATTGTAGGAAAATATTGCCCCCTGTTGAGAAGCATTGGTTTAATGGTTAAAATACCTGATTTCATAGAATGACTATGGTGAATTTGTTTCAGAACTCTTGAAGAATATATTTGTGTATTGTTAAGTGAGATACTAAGATAATTTCATGGTTATTTCTATGAAATATTTCTTTTGTTTGATTCTGTGACATTGAAGTCTTACAAAAGATCTTTTAGACCCTTGATTCTTATCAAGGTTAGCTGAATTATCCATAAAAAAATTTTTTTCCCTCTCATAGGAAGAACAATTCCAATAGTTTAAATCGAATGAATGGTGTTATGTTTCCTGGAAATTCACCAAGTTACACTGAGAGGTGAGATTATTGACTTTTTCTTATTCAAAGAGCTGCAGTTTCTTAATTTTGAATAGGAAACTCAGTGTACTTTTTAAAAACTGGGAATTTTATGGCAGGTATAGGATGACATACCGTAAAGAATTAATTTGGTGACCTTGGTTCTGAAAGTATTTCTGTGATGTGTGCATATAAACTTTGCGAGGGTTGACTTTTTTACAAAAATGGAAAAATGATGTTCATTTCTCTTACCGTAGGTCTAATATAAATGGGCCTGGAACACCCAGGCCACTTAATCGACCAAAAGTTCCTTTGTCAGTTCCCATGACAACAAACGGCTTGCCTGAGAGCACAGACAGCAAAGAGTCAAAGCAAAATGAAGACAAAAATCACAGGTTTGTATGTGATTTATTTTTTAAAACAAATGTTTTCCCAAAAAAGTTACATTTATCGATGGTTTTTCAGCACTCCTTATTTATGATTTACAGTTTACTGTTGTTTTGAGGAGGAGAAAATATTTTAATGCACTTAAAAAGGGCATTAGCATATTGCTGACAATGGGCAGAGAAAAAACTTTTAATTGCTTGTTTGGGAAGATTCTATTTGTAATAGGGTGTTAAGAAAATGATCATGATAAATTTTTTTCTTTTAGAAAATTACTTGAAGGAGAAGATACTTGTAAATGAGTTCAAATTCTGTGAATCATTTCTCTTTGTAGATCATGAAAGGAAATCTTTTTATTGATATCCCATCTTTTTCTTATCACATTAAGGGAAAGATGTGAGTGAGAGGAATTAAGAGTATGTCTCAAGGGGGAACTTGTAGTTTTATTTTAAGAGGACATTTAACTTGCTGAAGCATTGAACACAAAAGTCATGTAATTTATTGAGTAGTCATAGTGGGAAATGTTTAACATTTTAGGTGTCCTGGGAATTATTCTCTTGTTTTTCTTTGCCCAGATTTAACTTGCACAGTGAAAGTTATATATTATTAGAACTTAAGAATAGAATGTACAAGATGAAGAAACAGTTTTATTAATGACACTTTAAAAAATATTTACAGTGACTCTTCAATATCTGAATCAGAAGGTTCCTCGGTGAGCCCTATAAAAAATAAACATTCAGATGAAGATACTGTGGAGGCAGAAGGGCATGAGGTAAAAAGACTCAGGTTCGACAAAGAAAGTGAAGTCAGAGAGATGGCCAGTCAAACATCTTCCAGTGAAATTTCTTCAGTTATGGTAGAAGAAACAGAAGCTCCATCTTCATCTCAGAATAAAGACCAAGAAAGTAGTTGTACCAGGCAGCACTGTACAGAAGAGGATGAAGAAGAGGATGAAGAGGAAGAAGAAGGTATTTAGAGACCATCTGTAAAAGGGTGGAGTAAGGAGATCCTCAAATAACTTGTACTTCATTTTTGCGTGAAAGAATTTAACATAATGGAACTCCTTATAATGCTGATGTTGGGTTTTTTCTCCCACCTGTATGTAGTTGCTGCTGAGTTTCAGGGGATATGATTTGAACTGTAGAATATCAGAATTCATGAAACTTAACTGTGGAGGTATTTTGAAAATCAAATTTAACTACAACAACATTTGCTTATTTTTAGAGTCTTTTATGACATCAAGAGAAATGATCGCAGAAAGAAAAAATCAAGAAAAAGAATCTGATGATGCCTTAACTGTGAATGAAGAGACTTCTGAGGAAAATAATCAAATGGAAGAATCTGATCTGACTCAAGTTGAGAGAGGTTTACATTCTGAAGGTAGTGAAAATGCAGGCCCTGTAAGTAGTGGTTCTGATTGCCATGAAACAGAAGAGTTAGTAGGATCTAATTCCAGTAAAACTGGAGAGATTCTCTCAGAATCACCCATGGAGAATGATGAAGCCACAGAAGTCACAGATGAACCAATGGAACAAGACTAACTATTTAGAAATATTTAGATGCAGTATTTTACATACAGTTCTGGTTTTACACTGTATAAAATGTTTATGTAATAAAGTGGACCTTTAGTTTTACAAGAGAAGCAGGTTGTAAAATAAAATACTTTATGGGATAAATCCTGAAAGAGTTATTCATGTAAGAACTGTGAATATCAGCTCCTCTGGGTCCTGCTTACCGCTGACTTTTTTTTGGTCTGGTCAAATCAGTGGTTTGTGTATAGATTTTTTTTTTTTTTTTAGGATTAAAAATTTTAAACTGGAAAATAATTATAATTTTGAAAACTTTTTTGGAGATTATCACATTTAGTTTATTACATATGCAGGAAAGCTTTTGTCTTGTCTTTCTGACAGCTCTAGTAGTTTTCATATTTTGGTCATAGTTTCAGCATTTTAACATGTGAACTATAGGGTTTCATGCTGGTTTCCAGATTTTATTGTTTGACTATGTACAATGGAACTTTAAGTCATATATACATATATATATTATTCTAAGGGGGAAATGTTATATTTTTCTGTTTCTATAAGAGATGAATACAGTGGATACTTTTTCTATTGGTAATGATTGAGTTCACCTCTTTCAGAAGACAGTTTCTTTCTCTTCTGAGTAATTCAGATAAAATCTGGCCCCTGTGAAACCCTGGAAATCTTAAGTCTGTTGAAATACCAGGTTAAACACATTCCAAGAGATCTGTTCAAACTAAATTCTTTTGTATACTTCTGAGGTGCCTGAGAAAAAGACTTCATTATTTATGAGAAAATGTGCTTTATCTTGGAAATTGTGTTCAAACATTAGCTTACTATTTTGTAGAATGAATGCTTATAAAGCTGACACGAGACCATCTCAGAAGAACCAGGCTGGTTCCTTTACTTTTTGCTTGTTTTTCTGAACATTGTGAATAGTACACATTTCTTTCTAAATTATTCTAGAGTATACAAATGTCAATGGTATGAAACACCACTGTACTGGAAAAGTTAATATATTACTTTAGTAATGTACCGGAGCTAAATGACTGAAGCTTTAGGGGTGCATAGAAGCCACCATAATTTGTATGACATTTTGAAGTGAATTAAATATTTTTGAACATGCTTCTTCGACAGCCAGTGTTATATTTTTCAGATCAACACAAAGCACAATGGTTACTCTAAACTCAATATTTTCAAATTCACATATTTAAAAGTCATGCGCAAGCTGGAATTTCCCTGTCTAAATTACTGGCTGCCAAATTTATACCTGTTTCTTCAGCTGTACCTTTTGATATTTAGAATTTTTAAATTTCTGTAAAGTAGATTTTGTAGAATGTAATGTGTTCACTGCCTTTGTGAAGCGGTATATAATTGTATAATTTCTGTGTGTAAACTGAATGCTTGGGCTTTCAATACAGTATTCATATAAAGCAATAAATATTAATGTTATGAAATACTCGAGTACATTTTTATCAAAATATACGAGAATCCCTTTTTTAATTTCAGATACCTGAAGTACACAGATGAACTTATAAAACCGATGCAAACATTTTCTCACACTGTATCATATGCTCTGGGGTGACTTGGGCAGCCACCACAAGTTTTGCATTTTGACTACTTCAATTGCTAGGACTAAAAATACCAAAACGAGTTGACTCTGTTATGTCTGTAGGGTATTATACTACTGACTGACTTGACTGTCAGATTCACAGCAGCTAGATGATATATTTGTGAAATATGTCTCATAGTTGAAATAAAGACTGAGTATTGATTTATTTACTGTATCCAAGAGAGAAGAAAAATCACACATTGTAAATTTTTTTAAGAACTTTGCAAAAATGTTAAAACAGATTTTAAATGTGACATTCATTTGTAGTGACCTTTATTTTGTTAAGGGATATTTTGCCAATGAGAATAGATTTTAAACATTTTAAGTTTAGAAATTTTGAAATTTTCTTTAGAATATTTATGAAATCATTGTCAATAAACCTATTCTTTAAGATCCTGTGACCTTTTGATATTTTTTATTTTAATTGTGCCATGGACCACTTGTAAACTGAATTACTTCTGTTGGATATAAGTTGAAGATTTAGCATCATGACTTTGAGGTCTGTGGTTTTATTTGTATACTTGCAGTTGCTATTTTTGCAAGGGCAAATGTATTTCTTTATTAAATAAAGTACAATAATGGTGAATGTACCAAAATGCCATCACTCAACTCTATGAGAGATCTGCATTTTAATCTATAGTGTAATAGTTTTAATATTTATTAGATATTCTTATGTTGATCATAGATCAAACTTGTTGCTGTTTATACAGATAATTGTAGAATGCTCATGGAATATTTTCTTTAGGATAGATGGGATACTTCTGTAGTTAAACTGGGAAACCTTGTTCAGCTGGTTACTGATGTCTGGTGGGAAGTAAACTTCCTCATGTATGCATAGATGCACTTACATAGACTTTGCTTCATGAAAATGTCAGTTCTGATAGTAACTGACTCAGATGTGTACTTTTAAAAGGCTAATTTTAGGAACATTTTCTTAACACACATCAGCAAAGTCATATTAAAAGATCTAAATGAAGAAATAAGACGTCTGGTTAAAAATATTTTTTCTGATTGTCTTGAGCAGATTGTTTACCTGTTAGATTCTAGACTCTGAACCCAGCATGTAAAATAATTTGAAATGCTGATGAGAGTGAGAATATACATGTAATGTTTTTAGCACTTTTCTTTTAAAAAAGTAAAAGCATCCTAGAACATTTTAAAAAATAAATCTTTGGTCCTGAAAATATTGGTGAACAGAAATGAGCAGTGGGAAGTGTCCTATTTTAAGTGTTGATTATTAGATAAATTTAATCCACTTAGGGTTTATTGTAACTAGGCCTTTGAAAAGTGGATGGAGCATTAGAATTGCCTATCAGAGCTATAAAAACCCTCTGGCTTGGAAAGGCATCCCAGAAATTCTGGGTAAGAAGTTGTGGCCTGTTAAAACATGGAGGTTCAGAGTATTTTGTTTTGCTGGTGTAGATAGGCATGTACTTGTGCATTTTTGCATTTGTAAAATCAGCAATTTTTCAGATACTGTAATATACTAGTTTACTTATAAAGGTACTTGGGGCATCTAAAGCTATCATGTTTGATTTTGAGAAATGTAACTTGTGGTAAGGACAAAAATGCAACTTGTAGAACCAAAGGAAATAAAAATTCTGGATAGTGTTTCAAAATGTCTTTTGAACAGGAGTTTCTTAAATACATTGGTTTTGATCAAATGATCAAATCTCAGTTCTCTCTTGAGATTTGTGCTAATCATAAAATGATTGAATGCAAAAATACCTTGTAATTTCATATGGAATTATTATAATTAGGTTTATTGGATTATTGGCCTAATAAGAATGCTAGTATGTATTGGTTAGAATACATCTAATATTTCACATTTTAAAAATAATTAGTACGCTTTCTTCAGAATTTTCTTTTATTTCAACTTGGAGCCTAGATTACTTTGCCAAATAAATGTATTATTTTCATAATGCAATAAAATATAAATTAGAAGAATTAATCTATGTGTGGAGTTACTTTATTTGCCATAATTATGTGAAATTAATAAAAGTACATTTTCAGTTATGAAAATGTGGATGAACAGAAATGAGCAGTGGGAAGTGTCCTATTTTGAATATTGATTATTAGATTTAATCCCCTTTATGGTTTATTAAATGCTTTTGAAACGTGTGGATGGAGCATTAGAATTGCCTGTCAGAGCTATAAAACCCTCTGGCTTGGAAAGGCATCCCAGAAATTCTGGGTAAGAAGGAGTGGCCTGTTAAATCACGGAGGTTCAGAGTATCTTGTTTTGCTAGTGTAGATTTGTTTTGCTCCTCCTTCCAGCCCCCTGTCTTCTCTTACCTTAGGTGGTTTTCAAGTTTCACAAGCATTTCTTGATCCATAGGGAGAAGAGCTTAATGCATGACTTCATTACAGCTCTTGTTGCTTTAAGTGACAATGGTATTTCTGCAGAGATGGTTCATCTGAGCAACTCAAACCTGATACCTAGAAAAACCCAGATTTAACATGCAGAAATTTCTCTTGGTATAATTTGGTGCTCGTTGGCATGTACAGATGTACATATTTATTAGAGTCATTTTAGAAGTGTCAGTTTTAGACATCTACTTAGGAGTGTAGAGTCACCCTAAGGGGAAATGACAGATTCCATTTTCAGTTCCGGGTTCTCATTTCTTCATACTTGGTACTGCATAGTAGGTGATAGGAAGTAATGACATCTGTGGCTCTGAACTCAGAACACAGTACAAATCTGCATGTTTCTGAATTTAAATATTGAATTGCAGCTTATCCATATTTAATCTCTCACTTCTGCCAACATTATTTGGGCTTCTCTGGTAGCTCAGCTGGTAGAGTCCTGCTACAATGCAGGAGACCACAGGTCAATTCCTCGGTCAGAAGATCTGGAGGAGTAGGCCACCCACTCCAGTATTAAACAGATAGTACAGAGTTTTGGGGTCACTGGTAGGAAAACTTACTCTTCTGACGAGGAGTAAGATGCATGATCTCTGGCCCACCTGCCCACTTAGAACGAAGAGTGTGCTACTGTCATATTTTGACGGTATTAGAGCAGCAGGCTGGGTTTTTTTTTTTTTTTTTTCCTTTCAGTGTAAAATTCATCAGTTGAGTTTGGGATCTTAGGATTTATTTGTACACTTTAAAACTTTTTCTTCAAAAAGAAAAGGCAGTGCATTTTCTTAATAATAAAAGCTGCCAGGAATTCCCTGTGTCCTAGAAGGAAGACTCCACTGGTTTATTCGTTTGTATAATCTTGGCAAGCTAGTCCTGTGCTTGGCAAGTGGTAAGAATTCAAATTAAGGGCTTTGCAGGTACTGGCACTGCTTTTAAAGAATTCTAGGTTCATCCCTGAAGCCCTTCATTGCTGTTAGGTTTGGAATCAGTATACACCATTTGATGTTCTTGAAATGTGGGGCCAGTCAGACCAAATCACCAGGAAACG